CCCCAAAACCCCAAAACCCCAAAACCCCTATAGTTAAAGATATAAAAAATTAAGGAAAATAAATAAAAGAGAAATTTCAAATATTTTATTCAATGATCTATCTATCTTAATATCTAATAACTTAAGGTTAAAATAAAATAATGGCTGCAACTGGATTTGAATTAAATATCCGTGATGATTATTCAGAATATTATTAATCAGATAAACTGTCAGAAGACTCATTTGGAACTGTTTATTTAGCTAAAAAACTAGATGATAACAAAAGAATCATAGGAAGAAAATAAGTAGCACTTAAAATAAATTGAATCTCAGAATTCGTAAGAACTGATGACATGATTTCTTGTACTGACTACATACTTAGGGTCATGAGAGTAAATGCAACATTCTAGCTGAGACATCCAAATATTTTGAAAATTATAGATACCTTTCTAAATTACAAAGGTCAATTTGTTATTGTTAGAGAGTTGGCAGAATCTAGTTTAGAAGAATATATAAAAAGGAGATTGATTGATGAGAAGAAACCATTAAATAATTCTGAAGTTGCTTTTATCATGCTCCAATTACTCGAAGGATTAGAGTATATCCATAATAGCGGCTTTATTCACAGAGATATAACACCAGATAATTTATTTGTTTTTAATGACGGCATTATAAAAATCGGTAATTTTGATATCGCTATTTTTGGAAAATATTCCTATGAATGGGCTGGTATACCGAAATTGATGGCTCCAGAAATTGATAGTGTTCCAGAATTTCCCTATGATAATAAGGTTGATATTTGGTCTCTTGGACTTGTATTCTACTTTCTAATGACAGGAAAAAAATTAGAAAAACATAGGCCACTTTATTAATCTAATGGTCCTACATTTAAATGTCCTGAATAATACTCTTAATTCCAAGAAATCTTATCAAAAATGACAAAAATGAAACCTGATCTAAGACCTACAATTCAAGAATTGAAAAGTGAATTTCTTAAATTGATCTGGGATAGACAATAGTATAACAATTATTAGAGCTATATTATGAATCACTACTTTAATGAAGTGAAATCTAGTGTTGAAAATTCTATGTAATAACTAAAAACGCATGCAGAATATCACTTTTAGAATAATTAACTTTAAACAAGTATTGAAATGTAGAGTAACATCAATGTTTTACTAAATGATTTTAACTAATATATTGAAATGATGTAGAAATATATGGTAAACTAAAATAAAGTGAAATTGTAATCAAAAGTTGCTACAGCTTAACTTTATTTTCCTCAAATAATTTGAAAAGAAATAATACCAAGTGGAAATTAATTTGATCCAAATAAAATAGCACAATAAATATCAAGGAGTCTTAAAACTTACTAACCAGCAAATATATCTTTAAAGATTAGAAACTCGGATGATAGATATTTAATTGAGGATCAGATTTCTCGTGGAGGATTTGGCTCAGTTTACAAAGCCAAAGATTTGAAGGATGAAATTAATAAAGTTGTTGCTTTTAAGAAACAAGATCTTTCTATTTTAAACTATCGCAAAGGCGAAGATCTTTCTATTGAAGTACTTAGAATTATGAGGGAAATAGCAACTTTTTAACTTAAGCATCCAAATATTGTTGAAATACTTGATTCATATCTTACAATAGAAAGCTAATTTATCATTATCAGTGAGTTAGCTAAATATGACCTTACTGAATTTAAAAAATAGAAAGGACAAATGAGTTACTCAGATATTTCAACCATAATGATTCAGCTATTAGAAGCTTTAGAAGAAATACATTGCAAAGGATTCACCCACAGAGATATTAATCCCTAAAATGTTCTAGTTTTTGATAATGATATAGTTAAGATTTGCGATTTTGGAGTAGCATCATTTGGTACATAAACTGCAGCTCGGGCAGGAAAAGAATATTATATGGCTCCAGAGGTATTGAGTCTTGAACCTTATGATAAATCAGTAGATATCTGGTCATTAGGAATTCTACTTTACTATTTATGTCATGGCACTGAAATACAAAATATGAAGCCAATTAATGCTTAGTTGATAAAAAAGATTAAGATTACTTTTTTACCATAATACTCATAATTTTAAGAAATCTTTGATTAAATGACAATTCTGGACCCTGATTTGAGACCAAAAATACCCTATTTGAAAGAGAAATTTATGAAACTTATCGATAATTCATCTTATTACCAAAATTACTAGAATAAACTAATAATGTTTAAATTGAATTTATTGAAGAATTCGATTAATAAGGATTTTGAGTAAT